AAAACGGAACGCGTTGCAGAAGACGCGTTGCCTTAGGCAACCGCCGGAATTAAAAATTATTTTTATCAATTCGAAACGCGTTGCATAAAACATGCGGGCCGAAGGCCCGCATGTTTAATTTATGACTTAAATTCAAAAATTTATAACTTTTGAAGTATTCGTCTTAGAAAGATGATTGAGGTGTCATTCGATGGGGAATTGGAAGAGGAATTGAATGAGAGTATTTTCAAAGGTGTCACTTGAGTCTGAGAATGGATATTTGCGTCTGAAGTTTTAAATTACTGGGAAATTAACGCAAATTAAATTATTTTGATTGTAATAACGCTGGAGTCAGCCTTTATATCCAAAAGCAATCAAACCGGCTCAGCAATTCGCGCCGAACGCTGGTTATCTATATATAACAGTAATAAGGCAGTCAGCTAAAAAAAAGTCCTTTGGAAGTTTGAGAGGTCGTAGAGGGGTGGGGAAAAAAGCTATAGATGCGCAATACTATGTAGTTTTCAGGAAAAATCCAAAAAGTGGGGGGAAAGGGGCGAGTTTTTTAGATATTTCGAAAAAACATGAATTTTCGAATCTTTGAAGTGAAATTTGAGATGAAAGATGAAGTCGGGGAAAGTTGGGTCAGTTACAAGGTATCATCTTCAGAACATTTGGAATATGATAGAAAAAAAGTTGGAGTCGTTCTGACAACGGGAAGGGTAGATGTGCTGAAGACAAACTTTTATGTCAAAGTGGTAACTTTGGATTTAAGGTATTTATCGACGAGTTAGAAAAAAGTCGTTGGGAGTAAAGTTGTAGAGCGTGGTGGGTTTCTTAAGAAAAAAGTTGGTTTCACCTTGATTGGATTAACAGAAAAAAAGATATGGAGTAAAAATTGAAATTTTGAGGAGGTTGCATAGAAGTGACCTTAACTATGTTTTATTTCAGAGTTAGACGAAAATTGTTGGGAGATGAAAGATAGAGAATTAAATTCTGCATCGAATAAGCTTTGTTTTATGTTAATTTAACTTTTTTGCACCGAGTTATGAATTTTTTAAGAAATTAAAATTTTGAGAAAAAATTTTTAAATTTGACGATCTAGACCGTCCGATCTGGAAAGTTAAGCAACGGTGAGGCGTTTTTTGTAACTTTTGAAGTAGTTATCGGAAAAATATGAATGAGGTGTCATTCGACGCGGAAAAATCAGGCGAATTTTTTAAAAATATTTTCGAAGGGGTCACTTGAGTCTGAGTGTGGTACATTTGAGTCTGAAGGCTAAAATCAGTGGAAATGAATTTAAAAAATTCTAAAAATTAATGGGAATATTAAAAAATAAATTTTTAAGAAAAAGGACATTTGAGTCTCATTTTTAAATTTGAGTCTGGGACTGAAATGCCGGAGGTAACCGCCGGAAATATAAATTATTTTTTGAAAAATTCATACGCGTTGCAGAAGACGCGTTGCCGGAGGCAACCGCCACAGATTAAAATTATTTTTTGAAAAATTTGGAACGCGCTGCAGAAGACGCGTTGCCGGAGGCAACCGCAAAATTAAAAATTATATTTCAAAAATTCATACGCGTTGCAGAAGACGCGTTGCCGGAGGCAACCGCCACAGATTAAAATTATTTTTTTAAAAATTCGGAACGCGTTGCATAAAACGCGTTGCCGGAGGCAACCGCCATAATTTAAAAATTATTTTTAAAAATTCGGAACGCGTTGCATAAAACGCGTTGCCGGAGGCAACCGCCATAATTTAAAAATTATTTTTAAAAATTCGGAACGCGTTGCATAAAACGCGTTGCCGGAGGCAACCGCCATAATTTAAAAATTATTTTTAAAAATTCGGAACGCGTTGAATAAAACGCGTTGCCGGAGGCAACCGCCAGAATTTAAAAATTATTTTTAAAAATTCGGAACGCGTTGCATAAAACGCGTTGCCGGAGGCAACCGCCAGAATTTAAAAATTATTTTTAAAAATTCGGAACGCGTTGCAGAAAACGCGTTGCCGGAGGCAACCGCAAGAAATTAAAAATATTTTTTAAATTCGGAACGCGTTGCCGGAGGCAGGAAAACATGCGGGCCGAAGGCCCGCATGTTTTTTATGACTTAAATGTAAAAATTTATAACTTTTGAAGTATTAGACATAGAAAGATGATTGAGGTGTCATTCGATGGGGAATTGAATGAGGAGTTGAATGAAAATATTTTCAAAGGTGTCACTTGAGTCTGAGAATGGACATTTGAGTCTGAAAATACAAAACACTGGGAAATTGATCCAAATTAATTTAAATCAGTTGTAATAACGCTGGAGTCAGCCTTTATACTCAAAAAGCTTATTTACATGTCAGCAATTCGCGCCGAACGCTGGTTATCTATATATAACAGTAAAAAGGCACTCAGCTAAAAAAAAAGTCCCCAGAGCTTTTGAGTGGGTGTAAAGGGGTGGGGTTTTTTGCTATAGATGCGCAATACAATGTAGTTTTCAGGAAAAATCCGAAAAGTGGGGGGAAAGGGGCGAATTTTTTAGATATTTTGAAAAAACGTGTTTTTTCGAATCTTTGAAGTGAAATTTGAGTATGAAGACGAAGTCGGGGAAAGTTGGGTCAGTTACAAGGTATCATCTAGAGCATATTTCGAATATGATAGAAAAAGAGTTGAAGTCGTTCTGACAACGGGAAGGGTAGATATGCTGTTTACAAACTTTTATGTCAAAGTGGTAACTTTGGATTTAAGGTATTTAGAGGGGTCTGATCAAAAAGTGTTTGGGAGAAAAGTTGTAGAGCGTGGTGGATTTCATAAGAAAAAAGTTTGTTTCAAGTTGATTGGATTAACAGAAAAAAAGATATGGAGTAAAAAGCGCATTTTTGAGGAGGTTGCATAAAAGTGACATTAACTATATCTTATTTTGGAGTTAGAAGAAAAGTGTTGGGAGATGAAAGATAGAGAATTAAATTCTGCATCGAATAAGCTTTGTTTTATGTTAATTTGAGTTTTTTGCAACGAGTTATGAATTTTTTAAAAAATTAAAATTTTGGGAAAAAATTTTTAAATTTGACGATCTAGACCGTCCGATCTGGAAAGTTAAGCAACGGTGAGGCGTTTTTTGTAACTTTTGAAGTAGTTATTGGAAAAATATGATTGAAGTGTCATTCGACGTGGAAAAATCAGGCGAATTTTTTGAAAATATTTTTGAAGGGGTCACTTGAGTCTGAGGGTAGAATATTTGAGTCTTAAGGTAAAAATCAGTGGAACTGAATTTAAAAAATTCTGAAAATTAAAGGGAATATTAAAATGAGAATTTTTAAGAAAAAGGACACTTGAGTCTCATTTTAATTTTGAGTCTGGGACTGAAAATTTTTATAAAATTTTATAAAAATAAGGCAAATTAATTTATAAGTTAATTTTACGTTTAATTTAATTTAAAAAATTCGTAACACATTGCAGAAAACGCGTTGCCGGAGGCAACCGCCAGAATTAAAAATTATTTTTTGAGGAAATTGGAACGCGCTGCAGAAAACGCGTTGCCGGAGGCAAACGCCAGAATTAAAAATTATTTTTTGAGGAAATTGGAACGCGTTGCAGAAAACGCGTTGCCGGAGGCAGCCGCGAGAATTTAATTCTATTTTAAAAATAAGGGATGCGTTACAATAAACGCATTACCCGTTTGTAAAAAATACGGGGCCGAAGGCCCCGTATTTTTGACCGCTAATTTAATAATATTAGCGAGCAAAAATTAAATGCGGGCCGAAGGCCCGCATAATTATTTTTAAATTTTTTGAGTTTTTTCATAAAATTGTAACTCATGATGTATTAGTCATAGAAAGATGGTTGAGGTGTCATTCGATGGGGAATTGAATGAGGAGTTGAATGAGGATATTTTCAAAGGTGCCACTTGAGTCTGAGGGTTGGACATTTGAGTCTGAAGTTTTCAACTAGTGGGAAATTGATCCAAATTAGTTTAAACGAGTTGTAATAACGCTAGAGTCAGCCTTTATACCCAAAAGCTATTAAAACTACTCAGCAATTCGCGCCGAACGCTGGTTTTTACTTTATACTAATTATTTAATAAAAAATAATTATTTTACTAATTATTTTATATTAATCAAATGACAAATCTTAAAGTAATAAAAATATGATATTTTTTTTAAAATTTTTTAAAGAATTTTGTTTATTTTTTTAAACCCTTGATGAGATGAGCGAATGAAGGTTAATTGTCTTTAATTGCTTTTATTCGATTTATTTGGATTAATTATTCCGAGTTTTTATCTGGGGATAATTATTATTTATTTTTATAAATAGTAGCTTAAATAATTCCTAGGAAAGTAATAATATTTTATAATATTAATTTACAATGCATTATTGTTGTTTTCTTCTTTTGTAACAAATGATTTACAAGAATTAACAAATTGATGTTGATAAATATTGAGAATAGTATTAATACAACGTTGATCTCTTAAATTGCACATCTCTTGAATAATTCGTTGATTAAGTAAACTTTTAATAGATAAATTATTTATTTTATTTGTTCAATTTACTTATTAAAAAAATCTTTATCTCCATCTTCTGGCTTCCAATTATAAATTTTATCCAATTCTCGATTAAAAATATCATCAATTAATAATTTAATATAAGCCTAAATTTATAAATATATTTGAAAAAAATTTTTTTATTTAAACTGAAGACCGAAACAATATTTCACGTAAATAACATATACATACAGTTGGGATCGCGCCGTCATAAAAAATTAACTCGCAGTTTTCAGGATTAGGAATTGCCGAATTCTTTCAACTAGACCTCTGAACTGGGCTAGCTATTCTTCTACCAGCTAAAGCTAAAGTAATTCGGCGCCTGGGATCGAACCAGCATTTTTAGTTGACCAGAATAATGTTTTTAAATCTATAACATCTGCATAACTTTATGAATACTATCTAAATAAAAATTGTTTTAATTTTAAATTAAATATCTTATCAATATACTATAAAAATATCCAAAAAAATTTTTCGAGATTCTCGTATGACATTCACAGTCCGGTCTCTAATATAAAAATACAAACCCTCAAATCTTCAGTTTCAGGTTCATCGTCAAAATAATTTTGTATTACATTAAAATTAGATAATGCTATTTCCCAAGGAGGATATTCTTCTTCTTCAGTCAAATATTGAGTCAAATTTAATGCATCCTTTTAAACGTTATTTTTTAGAATAAAAATATTATTACAAACTTCATAAGGTAAATATCCATTTTCAGCTAATTTAAATGAATCATCAATAATACGTACACGGCTAGCCATTAAAAGTTCCTTTTTTAATCAAAAATTAATTAATAATTTATAAAAATTACTTTATGATTATTGAATAATTGTTGACTAATTTGTTTCATCTGATCAGGAGAATATAAAACTCTATAAAATCCTTGTGAATGGGTATTTAAAACAAGTAGATCATCAACAATTGTTTCTAATTCAGTACAATCTTTTAGCCATAACATTGGTTGATCAGTACCATTAATACTCCACCAAATTGGAATATCCCAATTATTAACTTTTTCGTATTCTCCCATTTCATCTTTCTTATCATTATTATCCTCTGAGTTAAATTGAAAGCGTTGTTGAGTTAACAAAACTCTTGATGGAGCTATTCTTTTTATCTAAAATAAATAATTTTTAAACATATAATTTTTTAATTTAAAAATTTTGCCTGTACAACAGGAAAACCTGATTGTTCAGTCCAATATTTAGCAAAATATTTAACATTTAAAGGTTGTCCGTTACCATCATGTAGATTTTTAGGAACTGCTTCTGTTAATGCGTTCCAAAGATCAGTATGGTTAGCATTTTGATATTTAAATTGATTTAGGTATATCTACATAATTTTTTATTGGGATATGTATTTAGCAGTTATATCAATTAAGCAGTTATATGATGATGTAAGATGACTAAATGTCAATAGTCACTAATCGAGTTTATGATTAAGTAGTTGAAGGGATATAATGGATATAATGGATATAATTCAAGGGATATAATGGATATAAATGGATTTAATAAATCTCAAATCTAAACCAGTAAAATTTTATTTTGATGAAAGATCTCTTTTTGACTGCGAGATTCTTTCTTAATTATCTTAATTTCTTAAAATCAAGTTGAAAAAATGTTTTTTGTAAAAATTATTATTTACTTTTAGACCGCTTTTAAAGCTTTGTTCACCCATCACAGCTCCTATCATTCTTAATATACTTGCACCTTTCTGATATGTTATCGAATCAAAAACTTTAGTAAAATCATCTTTCTTTCGTATTTTAAGGATTATCGGATGAGAAGTCGCCTTAGAATCAGCATCAAAAGCAGTGTCCAAATATCTAATAATGAAATAATCCCTCATTTGAAATTTTCCATTGTTGATTGCATCTGTACCCAAATATTCCTTAGGAAATTCTTTTCTAAATTTAAAAATACAAAATTTACAATCAAAGAAGCGAATCCTTCGTTAAGAAATAAATCATCCCACCACCGCATCGTAACTAAATTGCCAAACCATTGATGAGCTAATTCATGTGCAATAATTGAAGTAACAAGCAATTTTTGTTGAATAGTACATAATTCTGGGCTATAGATGAGATATTTTTCAAGATATGTGACCTGAAATTGTATAAGATGGCTCCGGTACAAAATATGGAATCGTTAAAATATGGAATGGTTAAAATCGCGAATAGGCTAAAAAGGGGTTAAAATACCGAATCGTTAAAATATGGAATGGTTAAAATATCGAATCGGGTAAAAAAGGGTTAAAATATGGAATCGTTAAAATATGGAATTGATAAAATGTCGACACGGCCAAAATAGGTCAAAATGTCGAATTTTTTTTAAAAGGGTCAGATGAGTGCCATACATTGATTATTGATAATTTTATCAATTTATCAGCTTATTTTTGATAATTTGATTGATAAGTCTCGTATGTCATAGTCCGGCGTAATCTTTTCTGCCCGAGTTCCGTGTATTTTACGGAGTAAAACCGGACCGGATAAATCAAGCATAATCGACCGGATCCGGTCCGGCATGATCGTACGGATCCGGAAAACATAACGCGATCCTTATACGGAAAAATTAGAGTGGTATTACGGTAACGCCCGGATTCTAGGTTTTTGGCGCCATTTAAAAAAAAATTCGACATTTTGACCTATTTTGGCCGTGTCGACATTTTATCAATTCGATATTTTAACGTTTCCACATTTTGACCCCTTTTTAGCTATTCGAGATTTTAACCATTCCATATTTTAACGATTCCATATTTTAACCCCTTTTTAGCCTATTCGCGATTTTAACCCATTTTTACCCGATTCGAGATTTTAACCCTTTTTTAGCCTATTCCATATTTTAACGATTCGATATTTTGTCCGGACGCGTATAAGATTTTTAAATAATTTGACTCTATATATTATTTGAGTCAACATGACTCCAAAAATATTATTAGAGTCAAAAATTGGCTCCATAAATTATTAATAATAAATTTGTAACCAATCCCCAATTTTCTGTTCCTCCAGCACCCGCATCAGGAACTGCAACCATATCTAATTTAGGAATTGGAAACTCAATTCCAAAGTAATCTTCATAAAATTCCAAAACTTTAATTCCAGATTCTAAAGCATAAGAAGTAAAAGTTAAAGCATCTTTGCGTGCCCATACACGAAACTAAAAATATTATCATTTTTGAAATACAATATTAATAAACTCGTATTCCACGTTTTGTATATCCTTCAATATAATTAAAATCAGAGACTACTAAGGCTAACAAATATGAAGACATTGGAGGTGTCTCATCAAAATCAGTTTGAATCCATTCTTTATTGTCTCTACAAAAATTTATTAGATTTCAAAATAAATAATCCCTCTCAAGTGAGACACAGTGCTTCGACACTCGTGCCAAAATTCATACAGTAACCTACCTCGGAATTGGTATAAAATACTGGGGACACGCCCACCTTGTCGCGCGGCCACCTTGTCGCAGAGCCATAACTTGCTAAAAAATTTCTGGCCCTTATCAATTTTGGTACCAATCTCTTTAGCTCGATGAGAGGATCGTTTAATACTAAAGTTGGTAAGATTCGGAAAACTTGAAGGAAGTTATGGCTCTGCGACAAGGTGGCCGCGCGACAAGGTGGGCCGTACCCAAAATACTGGTATAAAGCTCGTCTCGAGATTTCGGTCGTACTCCACTACTATATGTTAGGATAAAATATGGAAAATATCAAAATAAAATAGTCAAGGAAAGATTAAGCTTTATTTTAGATATATTTTAATTACGTTGGTATTCCATTTCGAAGTTCTTTTGAATTACTAATAGCTTTAGAACCAGACGGATGAATAATAGTGAGTCGATATATAGCTTTAAAATGTGGTTCATCTAGACAAGGTATCTAAATTATAACATTACACCAGATTATATTATACAAACCATTCTCCTAGCATCAATAGATTCCATATGTGTAACAGCTGCAAATCTATACTCACCAGAGAATGTTGTGTATGTTGTTAGAAATAGACCAGAGAGTTTTGTGGAAATTGGTCCAGAATATGGAATCTATATAAGAATTATAATTCTAAAGTAAATCTCCTAGGTTAGAGATCTGCTAAATGTTTTTTCGATTTTTTTGAATATTAAATGGAAATATGTTTAAAGCTAGGTACAAACAAGTACTAATTAACAAAAAATTTCTCAAATATTATTAAAATTACCTGAAACAGGAAGTGTTCACCTCTCTCCAAAATTCCATTTAACTCAAAAAAGACCTAATAAATAGAATTCTTTAAAAATTACATTTAAAATTTAAAAAAATGTACAAAATAAATGCTCTAATACAAGCATTGGGCTTATATTTTCGATGGGTTTCTTCTGTTGTAGGGTCGGACTATATGAGATCATTTACGGTATATATCAAAAGACTATAACTATTAATTTAAGTAAATTTCAAATTAAAAAATTAGAAAAAAATGATCAAAATTAGTGTATGTCAAATGACAAACTAATTCTATATGCTTAAAATTTACAGAAGCTTAAATTTGCAGCCAAAATATATACGTACTTAAATTACCTTTTCGTTATCTTCATCTGTTCTAACTTCAATAACTTTTAATGGTCTTGATTTAATTTCATTATTTACTTCATTTACTCTAATTAATTTATATTTTTCAAGATTTTGATGATCAAAAATAAGTTTTAAAGCATTTAATTCTATTCTTTGTGTACTTTGTTCAACTCGAAATTTCATAAGTAAATTAGCGTCAAAAGTAAGATTGTTTGCGTCAGAAATTTGTGCATCAAAACCGGGGACAAAAATTTTCATTGTTAAATTATACCAAATTGGGTAAAGCTAAAAGAATTTTTTTAATTAAAAAATAGAAATACCTCTCCAGAAAGGCGTAATACTTCCGTCGCTTTTTCATGTTTAATATTTTCAATATTCTTTCCTATTTTTGGTAATTTTGTTTCTATAATATTACCATTAATTTATAAACTTTCACTAATATTATTACTGTCAGTAAAAGTAATCTTCCCTTCGATATAGTTTCCCAAAAAAACATTATTTATAACAAATGTAAAAAGAATAGCAGCGAGCATTAAATTAAAAAGTATTAGAAAATATTTTTCTTTAATTAAAGGAAATTTTTTAAATTTAATATTTATCTAAAGTTGCAATCTGATTCTGTAAGATTTCTCAGTGTTCGGAACTATACCCACATATCTGGAACAGTCGTTACCTATCTGATAGATTCTTGAAAGTTATGTTTTTCTGAAACTTTTGAAAGTGGCTATAACTTTGAAAAATATATTTATAGTTAGTTATTTTAAAAAAGGTTATGTAACCGTTATCTAACCCAATACCAACTTTGAAGCACTAAGAAAGATTGATTTTTAAAATAAATTTAATTTGGACGGACAAATTAATTTGGATTGTGACATATAAATAGGTGAATTTTTTATACTTCCAATATCTTATCTTTGAATAATTTCATTTTTTAAAGAATTTTGTTATCATAAAATATAGAACAAATAATGTATTTACTCAATAAACAATTTAATACATCTTATTTCTATGTAATTAAAACATTAGTCATAAATTAAGTAGAAATTTGGGGTTAGGGGTTGAATTTTTATAGAACACACCTCTTTATATTTATAAACCATTCGCTGATATTATCAAATTTTAAATAAACATAAATAAATGTTAACTTTTATCTTTTCTTAAACATGAGTAAGTGTTATGTCTTAAAGCGCAACTTAAAGCAAAGCACAAGTAAAGCAAAGCAAAGTAAACTTAAAGCATAGCAAAGCACAATCAAAGCAAAGCACAAACAAAATCTACAATAAATGATGAATTTTTACACATTTTTGCCTTACACAAAATAACAAATATAAATGAAAATTGACGATTCCTAGGCGCCTTAAAAATTAACCAAGCACTTCATTCAATACAGTCAAAAGTCTGATCTATCTTTTAATTAAAAATAAGTATGTAGTATTTCAAATGTGTTTTTATTACAAGTTTTTCTATTATTGTATGAGAAATTAAATTTTAAAAAATTTATTTATCACCTAAAACATTTGAAGATATGTAACATAGGGAAACACTAGAATTTTAGGTGGTTTTTGTACTTTGCTATCTGTGATAGGGAAATCCCTCAAATAATAGGAGTTTTCTCGTCTTATCTTAAGAAAACTCTCGACCAAAAAGTATTTATCTGATATTGATATGAATTATTACATATAAACAAAAATGGAGTGAGTTTTATAGACTTAAAATTATTCACTTATCAAAAATTAGCTGGCCATAAATAATTTTTAACGAACAAATTTTTTCATTTTCTAATTTTTCCCTTTAAAAATAAATTCTTATAAAAATGTCGAATGGCAATGATATATCACTTTATAAAAATAATTCAAATATTCCAAAATTAATAACAATACCAAAGTTACATCAAATGAAGAAGGAAGGTATTCCTATTGTTTCATTAACTGCTTATGATTATTCAATGGGAAAAGAAGTAAATTTTTAAAACTACTTTTTCTCAACCCTTGACATTCCTAGTGTATATGATATCATAATTTTATAAAATTCTGTAGCTCATTATATTATTTTAGTGCGTTTTTTTGTATTTTAAGGCTTACAATTTTTAATTCTATTTTTTATCATTTTTAAAATAGTTATTAAATAGATGGATCAGGCAGGAGTTGATGTTATCTTAATCGGAGATTCACTTGGGTGTGTTATACAAGGAAAACAAAATACATTATCCGTTAGTCTTGAAGATATTATATATCACACAAAAATAGTCTCAAATGGAATTAAAAGAGCTTTATTAGTTGCTGATTTGCCTTTTTCTGTAGGTTTTTATATCCATGTCGCAAACTCTGAGTACCAGAGTTTTGTGGACCTGAACATTGCAACCCCAAATTTTCGAACAAAAGTTGCGGACTAGAATTTTTTGGGCATGACTTTGTAAAATTCAAGTCCGCAAGTTTTGTGTCCTCAAAGTTTGGATTCGCTATATTATGTAACTTAAAAATAAAATAAATATTTTAGTGTTCTTATAGTGTTGAAAAAGTCATTGAATCTTCTGTTTCTTTACTTACTAAAGCTGGGGCAGCGGCAGTTAAATTAGAAATACTTTCGAATTCTGAATTACATTTAAAAATGTTAAGAGAACTTAACTCTTTGTCTATTCCTGTTTTTGCACATATTGGATTAACTCCGCAATCTGTACACTCACTTGGTTATATTATTTAATTATTTAAAGCTCCGTTAAGTAAAAATAATAAATCCGTGATCCAATTAATAATATATATTTACGTCACTAATGAAATATATAGGTGATATAATCAACATAAGGGTAAATAATAAATATGTATAATAACAAATAGTCTATCGTATATAGATTCTGAATCTAAAAAATGATAAAATATAAGCATTGTACAACTGATCGAATTTCAGGTTCGAAAGGGATTTATATATGCGGGTGGAACATATCATATCAAAGTTGTAAAGAGGAATATTCTTCTTAATTGTCCTTACAAATTCGGAGCGGAAGGCACAACTGAGTCCCCCGTATATATACCTCTACTGAGTTTCTTTTCAAATCCTTAGCCTTCCAAAATTAAATCCTTAACCAGTTTTTTGTTCAACTCTACTCTAAATATTTGGATATTTTACAATATTTATTTAATTTAAGGTGGTTATCAAGTTCAAGGAAATTCAAAATCCAAAAGAACTGCAGAAGAATTGTTGGATTTGGCTATTCAGGTAGAAAAATGTGGAGCATCTGCTGTTGTTCTTGAATGTGTTCCTAAGGATTTGGCCAATCAAATCACAGATTCCTTAACAATTCCAACAATTGGAATTGGTGCTGGTATTCATTGTGATGGACAGATTCTTGTTGTAAATATTTTTTAAATTATTTTTTTTATTTAAATAATTTCGCTATTGTGTCATCTCACTCATTTTATTCTTCTCCTCCTTTATCAAAAAATAGTGCACGTAGGTAAAATTCACATATGACTGTTAGACATAAATTACGATCTATCGCGATAACCTTAGGCTTTTTAAACTTTGGGTAAGTAGTAAACTCTGGGTAAGTAAGGATGCATGGGAATATTGCGAACAGATTCGCATTGGTACTAAATGCAAAATCTAATAACTGACGATATAACTCACTTTGAACCATCTATACTTTTTTGGAGAAGGAAAAAGAAACGAGAAGAATAATAAACGGTGTTATACCACAATAGCTCCATTTTTCTTAGGTTTATGATCTTCTTGGAATTGGAGAAAAACCTCCAAAATTTGTCAAAAATTTTTTAAAAGACCAAAATTCTATTCAAAATGCATTTATTTCCTACGTTAAGGAGGTGCGTGAAAGAACTTTTCCCGAAGAAAAACATTCTTATCATTAAAATAATTTATTGACTCTTGTTGTTAACTCTCATTAAAAATATTTCCTTAATGAATATAAAATTTTAGCATTTAATTTACTGCAATTTTAAATAAAAATAGTTTTAACGGGAAAAATAAAAATTTCATTTAATTTGTTGGTTAAAACTATTTAATTAAGGAATTATTTTGTGTTCTCCGAACAAATTAACGTTGTAATTGATGTAAAATGAATTGAAATTAACGAATTACTTTAAAAGAATATTTTATTTTTAAACTTTTTTGCTATTTTTGCTTGGTTTTTCTCTCAATTTTTCTCTAAATTTTAATTAATAAATTAATTATATCTTGTAGAATTATAATATATCCTCGAATCTCAATAAACCTTCAATATCCGAAAACCTTGGATTCCCTACGTTTTTTGGTTAGTGATTCAAATTTACAGTAAACATTAATTGAATAAAATTTAGGAATACAGAAATTGTGAAAGTATTTTTAATTATGCATGCATGTTCCCTGATACACACCATTTCTTTTAAAACTAGGGTGATGAATCCGGGATCATTAACGTGACCAAGCTTGAAATTTTTATATAAATACTACATATATAAAAATTTCAAATGAATTGAACAATTTGAATCTTAAAAATCAGAAAACATAGCTAAGAAATTACTTAACGCGCCATATTAGTTTCAATTTTAAAATTATATGTATTTATTTTTATTTTATTTAAATACATTATACGAGTAAATTTTGTAATTTCTTTAAACAAAATTTTATATTATTTTTAATTCGTTTTTAAAAATTTTCGTTTTTAAAAATTTTGTAGTTTATATTTTCTTTAAATTTTTCGCAAAAAAATTCTTAAATATACAGGGTGCGGCAAATTGGCGGCCGCTTTTCTTTTTGCTATAACTTTTTAAATTTTTAATGAAAATACTTAATTCTTTTTTTACTGGATTCCCAGCTTTTCTTTCCAATTTCACCAAAATTTGAAATTAACATTTGAATCAATATTCTTATTTTTATCTATTTCAATCTTAAAAATGATAATAAGTACATGGGCCTGCGTTTTGAGAAATAAGTTCAGTATTTTACACCACTTTTTGGGCAAGTTTGGACCCCTGTATCAGCTCGGAGATATCGCGGACTGATTTTGGTGCATTCGACTCAGAACTATGAACTGAAATATTGACGCGTGAGAAGTAAAAAGTAAAAGAATAATGATGGAAAAGGAAAAAAGTGAGAAAGAAAGGCTGACCATTCCGTAAAATTATGGTTGATTGATGAAAAAGGAAAGAAAAAGGCATTTCTAAAAAAAGCGTACCTAAAGTATATAAGTTCCAAATATAAATTTGGTTCACAGATGGTAAAAATAAGCCGGTCCAAACATTCAAAATCATCAAAAAACATTTTTTCTTGTCAAACATTAATTGATCATAACTTCGTCAAAAATCATTCAATCTCGATGATTTTAGTACCAATCGACTCGTCTTGTTCAGGCGCATCGAAATAGCTTATAATTTGATTTTTGAAAATTTCACTAAAAAATTTTATTTTTACCATAATTATTTTACTTTATCTTTCAAAGAATCGTAGCTCATTCGATTTTTATCGTAGCCCAAAAATTTTGATGTTATTCGAATCAGATTGAAAAGCTGATTCGAACGATATAAACATTTCCGATATCAAAATCATAGCCTTGAATCCAGACCGACTTTTGTCCGAAAATTTTTGCTCGAACTTTGAGGAAAGATTAAACTGACTAAACTATGAAATTTAAAAACAATTTTCATATCAAAAAAATTCTCAGAGTGCTGGGAATCCAGTAAAAAAAGAATTATGTATTTTCATTAAAAGTTAAAAAAGTTATAGCAAAAAGAAAAGCGGCCGCCAATTTGCCGCACCCTGTATTTTGTGTTCGATAAATTTGTAATAACCTAATTATTTCTGCTTTATTTTTTGCAGTTTCTTATTAAATTTTTTTTCTTTTTAAATAAATAATTCTAATATTATAAAATTAAATATTTAAAATATTCATTAATTAATGGCCAGAGTATTTTACATTTTTAAATTATTATTATTAAATATCCTTCTAATATTTTTATTTTCAATAATTTTAATTGTTCAATCTACAATTTCAAAAGATTTTTCTAACTTTTTAATTAAAGAATATGGGGAGGAAGTAGAAAAGTTAATTGCTAGAAGAGATTTAGGGCTTGGTGGAAGTTTCGGTGGTGGCCAAGAAAATGAAGAGAATAAGTGAATTTTATTATTGTAAATATGAATAAACTTAAAGAGATATGAATAATAAGCAAAATTTTGGTCCTTAAATGAAATTTGGAAAAATAAATGATTTTAATTACTCGGATAATTTTATTAATCCCTGGGATAATTTGGAATAATTAGTTGGAATATTCCATTGTTCCAATTATTGCTTCGGAAATATTTAATTTGGAATAATTAGGGATCATATAAGCCTGGCAAATAAAGCAAAAACTAATAACGATCAGTCCTGGTAGGGATGTAGAGCGTTTAATAGCTTTACATGCAAGAGCTTTCATGATCAATTCTAATCCAATCTTAGCTACTTTTTATGAAAGGGTTGTCCACTTTACTATAATTGAAATAATTTCAAATAATTTTTCAAAATTTAAATTATAGACCTGTATCAAAAAGAAGACCAATAATCTTTGTTCATGGATTGACAAACGTTGCGGGAACATACGAATATATTCGACGTTATTTCCTCACAAAGGGATATAATAATTTTGAACTTTATGCAACGACATATTCCTATGGTGTTAAAAAATTTCTTAAAGATAAGATGGAGTGCAGACATATAACTCAGGTTAATATAACTCATCTTATTAATTAACTCATTTTTCTAAATTTACATTTTCTTTGCATTGGACATATAAACAAAATACGTTATCAACTCAGATAATTACCCCGTGTAATTATTGTTTCATCCCCTCACTGGAATTCACTCTCTCTCTAGAATTATTTTTTTATCGTCTCTCGGAATGAGCTCAATGAGCTCCCATTATTTACCAAAATGTTTTTTAGAAATTTATTTGGATTCCTGCCATAATTAAGTATAACAATAATAATAAATCTAAATAGGCACAAAATAAATTTTATTTTAAGATTCGTCTTCTGATCGAAGCAGTTTCTCGGTATAAAAAATCAAATATTGACGTTGTAGCTTTTAGTATGGGATCACCTATGGCAAGAAAAGTAATTATGAAATATTAACAGACGAAATATTAAATTTCTTTTTAAATAAAAAGGCAATACTCGGTGGAATTTGTGTTGATACTGGACAAAATTTAGGACAACCATTAACTAGTTTAGTCCATACATTTATTGGAGTTGCTGGTGCTAATAGAGATGCCGAGCCTTTATGCAAATTATTATCTTGGGCAGAACCCTGTAATCAAATAAATGGAATTTCTTGTAACTCAGCATTTCTGAGAGATATTAATTCAGTGTAAATATTTAAATTATTATTAGTAGTATATTTATTCATGATAGTAACTCCTATTGATGACCAAAATTTCAGTGTCCAATATTCCGTTTCTTACTTGGTGACCAAAATTCTTTTGACCAAAATTCAGGCTCCCTTACTGGATGCGATAATATTTAAAGTAATTACTTTGACTTGCTTCCAAATCAGCTCATCTGGTTCAGAAGCATTGAATTAATTAAAAATATTTAGTGTAGGTTATGAGGCATTTTCACGAATTTCGGTAATTCGTTCTGTAGATGATACAATTGTTGGTAACATTGCATGTGACGGGCAGTCTGTAAGTTCAATTAATGGACAAAATGATGAAATTGTGGTTAATATTTACTAATTAAAAAAATATTTTTTAAATTAATCTAGTTGAAGGGTTACTCTCACCCAATGATAATTTATGCAACTCAGGATATTATTTATAGAATAATTCAAGGATTGAAAAATTAGATTTAATATTAAAAATTCTGTCTTATATTATGATCTCAATTATAAAAAATTATTTTATTTCATAGTGTAAGGCACCTGAGTGCCAACCACCTCCAGACCCCAAGCCCTCTCTCACCAACACCAATCCCTTTATTATTTCCACATATTACTTCCGTAATATATTGTTCCTTCACCTTTAATCTTTCCTCATTCCTTCCCACCAATTATACATTCACCTCTTCACATGTTTTCCCAGATTATTCACCTTTTTAAATTTTTATTTTTATTTATCCAACCACGCATCTTCCCATTAATCATTGTACAACTCCATTCAACTACACAACCAACCCTGGAAGAGAAGTAAGATGTTCATTTGAAGATTAATTTTAATTGAGATGTTGAGATTTTTAGAAATAAAAAAAATCTCCCGAGATTTTTAGAAATAAGTAAATTTTTGATTTTTTTTCTAACATACATATCTTATTAGAAATCATTTAGACAAATAAAATCGGAAAATATTTGTCTCTGGCCAAAAAATAAATCAGTTTTCATGCCTCACAAAGTTTCTAGAATTTTATTACTTTTAAAAATAGTGTTTATATTTTTTTAAAATTTTCACATATTTTTTATATTCAAAAATTATTTTTTGAAATAAAATAAATATTCTCATTGTTTTTTCATCAATTAGACTTTAAAATAATTTCGATGAAAACATTGAGAAAAACATAATAATTAAAAGTTAAAATGACCTTGCTAAATTAATTTTTCTCATTTAACATCCATATGCACTTTAAAATGACTTTAAAATTGTATTTTGGCCTGATAATTAAAAATAAATATTTAAATAATTTTGTTAATTTATTAATATTTATTAGTGACTGGATCGAGACAAAATCTCAAATAAAAATCTCAGTTATCTAAATCAATGTTTTTCGAGATATCGTGTAAAATTTGTCGGGTTTTGTCAAGATCGTTAATACTAAATTTTGTTAATTTTGGTTTATATCTTGAACATAGGCTCTAAAATACAGTTCTTCTACCTCCATTGCTAAAAAATTGGGAGTATTAAATATCCAAAAATTACTCATCTTTTTTGAGTCCACAAAGTTAAGCCAACTTGTATTTTTTAACTTTAATCTCCCCCCCCCCCCCCGTTGTCTCTATTTAATATTTATCTGAAATGATCAAACAATTTTATATATTTTTACATTTTAAATAATTTAACAGAAAAAATAAATTAAATGTTGGCTTCAATTATTTTCTTTCATTTAGTATTATTTCAATTCATTTTTATAGAAGCAATTCCAAATCCTCTAAGTTGTAAGTCTATAATTATTAATCTGAGGGAGAAGCGCTGACTTAGAGTTGCCTCAGCTATTGTAATTAATGATTAATTTTTTAAAGATTTTAAACTTGCTTATTATGAATGGAGATTTTTTCGTTTTCCAATAGAAAGCGAATACTTTGCTTTAAATCTTCTTGAGATTCATTATGCAAATTTATTGAATAATCAGGCAACAGATATTTTTAAATTGAAATTACAAATAACAATTATTTCACATACCTTTATGTTAAATAATGTTAAAAAGAATTTACATAAGTTAGAGGAAAAGACTGGGTAATATTCTAATAAAATTTGAGAGATATGTCATGAAAGATCAGCCTTTGTCGGCGATCCGACCCTTCATTATTCTCGACTAGTCGCTGCTTATATATTATATATAAAAGATGTTTAATTTTATAAATTTTAGTATCTGGTTTCGCGTAACACGGTTCATTTTTAGTATATTTTTAAATATCAGATTTGGTTTCGTATCGTATCCCTTGTACAGACCTTTTTCCCATTGTTCTCGTTTTAAGTTATCAGTACAAATTCTAATTTTGGTACGAGCATAAAAGATTATGAGTAAAAAAGATTTTCAGTTTTTTGTCTAACTTCATACAAATTTATGTTTTTTTATGTAGACTAGCTGATTTAAGCAAAATGTCATATACGTACGCCTATTCACAACTCGAAGGTATTTGTAATTTGTTAAAACAAAAACAAATATTATCAAATAAATATTTTGAAGAAATAGATAAAATACAAAGAAAAATAAATAAAAAAGAAAATTTAATAGAATGTACTAATCAAAATGAAAGTGAAATTGAAAAAATAATTGAAAATTGGGAAGAGTCCATTCAAGAAACAAATTTTATAGTTTTTGTTCAATATTTTTTAAAAAAAAGAAGGGATTTTTATTTAAAAATGGGGTAAATTAATTATAAGAGTTTTTAAAATTTGTTTTAATGATGTAAAGCTATATAATTCCAATAGGCGGCGTGGTGTAATGGATAACACATTCGTCCAGTCTACTGACGATACTTGCTGCTTTGAACCCAAAAACACTATGTCAACCCAAATCCCGCTTAATCCCTTGATATCCATCTCATTCCTATGTTATCACTCGATATCCCCTTAAACTACACAAATCTCCGAAATAATATTATCCATTGTTTTCCACCCGGA